ACAGACAAAAAAGCAGAATATGAGATGTACTCTGGATTGACTATAAAAAAATGTTGAAATGTAATGTGTTCTTTAGTGCGGAATTCCGCACAAAGATGACATCTGTTCGAACAAGGACCTCATATTGTCACATATTTCTTCGCGCTCGTAGCGGCTGAGTTCTTTGTTTTTTGATACGTTGTCGCAAAAGTGATCACCGACGTGTATTGCGACAGAATTCAGAAGACCTTTGCTTGTGTTTTTCCTTATTTTCTTTCCCACCGAAACTTGTTCATCCGATTGGATCTGTGGATCAAGAATGTACATCATATTGATGTTACGATCTGAGATTTGCTCTTCAAAACCATGTTCATCGGCCGCGGTGCAACCCAAAATAATGTTATAATTTCGGTGTTCACCAATTTTTTCCTTTGTTTCTTCTACATACTTACAGAGTATGAACGAAGGATGATTAAACCGATCAGAACCAGGAATGTTGCACAAAATGATCTTCAGCTCGATATAATCCTTTGTTTGTAAGTTATTCTAGAAAAGATCATTTGTTATAATGGGTGTTTCACTGTTTCTGGGCCTCAATAAAAATAAGTCTATATATAAACAAGCCGTAGTGTCTATCCAACGATATTTATATGAGCTTCAAATATTCAAGTTGATGTTTCGAATGACATACTATTGGCTAACATTATCTCTCTTAATAATACTAAAATAAACATAAGAACTGTAATATTCAAAGTTTCGAAGTAAGCCAGCATTCTGTTTTTAAGAATTTTTCATAAAACGGATAATCGATTTTATATAGGTAACAGAATACCAGAAATCGGTATGTAATCATCTTGCTTACTTATGTAAGAGATAACATGAACTACTGTTCACGAGAGGTTCCCAAAATTGAGGATATGTGTGAAAATGTCTTGCAGGACCAGTATAAAATTTCAAGACAGCTTATCTGTTTTGCTGAGCAATAACGAATAATATCATTTATTGAGAAATATAGATTCCCCTATGTCCCCCGCTTCCTCGCCTTTCACGTGGACTACTTGAGTCATTTTTCATGTGATCATTTGATTTATACCTCAAATAAACTATCGAAGATGCACAACATAAACATATTAAGTACAGAACAAGTCTTGCCGCCTATACACAATATGTTCATGTTTTTGTTCACCTTAGATAGGTTATTTGGAATAGACAATAAATGATTACGTCAACAAAGATTCGTAACACCTTTAAAATATGCAATCATGGTAACTATATATCACCTACTATTATTCTATTATACAAAATGTGTTACCTAGAAGAATCATTCCAACAACTGAATTCCTGTCGGATTCGATCATGATTCTATTGGGATTTCTAGAAAACCGACGAAATTCTATCTGATTTCAGGGAACGATCCGACATTCGGATCGTTAGTGTTGGATCTGATCGGATCCTACTATCGGAATCCGATTGAATCCCATCATATGATCTGGTAGGCCTCTACTGTTAGGATAAAATCCTAATTCATACTCAAGTAAGAAAATAGGATGTGTTTATTGGATTCATTATTGGTTTCGTCATCCGGATTCCTAGAGGATTTTGTCGGCTGGCTGGATCCGATTGAATTCTGTATCGGATTCATTCATCTGTGTATCCGTTTTATAAAAAAATTCTGAAAAACAGAATTCTGATTGATTTCAAAATTTTGATTATCACGGTTCTTTCGTTTATGTGAGTATTATTGAGAGAGATAATGTCAGCTAATAGTATGTCATTCAAAACGTCGACTTGAACCTTTAAAGCTCATATAGAAATAATTGGATAGATATTACTTCTTGTTTACGTATAAACTAATTTTTATCAGGGCCAAAAGCCTTATGAAACACCAGTTAGCCATCAGATAGATACAATGTCACTTCATAAAAATATTTTCTCAAATCATCTTTGAAATTCTTTAGATATTTATTTTAGCTTTTACGCGGATAGTCACAGAATGCCAATGAGATCAACATTGTATTTGTACGTAACTGCCCAAAAATGAAATAAAAAACCTTTCCATGTATGGCGCAAAATCTTCATTTGTATATCACTATTACAGAGTGTGTCAGTGATGAGTGAACCGTTACTCTTACTTGATCGTACTGTTGAGTTGCCATTGCTAACGTTCAGCATATCTCGTGTACTGTCTACCTTATTTTATACCTACCCGCCTCTTCGCTTCGCTTATCAAATTTACAGAATGTGTCACATCCTAGTTCCAACTCCTGATTTTCTAAAATTTTCCTGAGAATTTTTCAACTCCACGTCATCAGTTATGCGGAAGTAGTTCCTTCTGTTCTAATACATAATAATGGGTAATGCATAAAGAACAGAACAAAATGTTTCCTTCTTTTTCAGAGCACTTCCCACGACATTTAAGGCTCCCTTTTAGGCTCAATCGATAGAGAATTTCTCACTCCATAAAACTGTCGACCTTATTTTCCAAAGAAGTGTTTCTTATTGGCGAAACGGGTGGGCGGGTGGGTGCGGGTGTGGTTGTGGCGTGTGGGTGTGGTGTGAGTGTGGGTGTTGGTGGGTATTAATTAAGAATACACCCACACCCACACACCCACACACCCACGTCCACACTCACACCCACCCCACACCCACGCTCACACCCACCCCACACCCACGCTCACACCCACACCCACCCTTATTAAAGATATAATTAGTATGTATCCAGTCCGGTTGCTGGTTGGGTCCAAAATTGTTGAATCCGATCAGGTTTAACCGAAAACTCGCAGCATTTTCGACTGTGGTATGTTTAACTAGAAAATGAGAATCGAAAAATAAGTTTCATCATGCAGTAGAAATTTCATGAATTTACCCATTACTCATATTATGAAAATATTGACATAATATTTTTTTTCATTCGTGCACACTCTCATTGATGTGCAAAGAGTATAGACAAATAATTTATTTTATGGTTTTTTCCGTTTTCTTCAAAAGGTGATGAAAAAAATGCCTAACTTGGAAGAATTTGGTAAGATGCATGCTATTTATGTAAAAACGTTTTTGCATTTCTTTTCAGACAGTATATACATATTTTAAGGATTGCATGGTATTTTTCATACCATGTAGTATGATAATATTGCTTTTTAAATAGTATGCTTCAATTTCTATTACATTAAGTCTATTTTCTTTTTATTATCTCGTTGTTTTGTAGATCATAGTAAACAGTTTTTTTCCAATAAAATAATAATTTCCAAATTTTGGAAACTATTATTAAAGAACAAAATTTAGAAAAAAGCAGATGGATGATCTTTATTTTTACGCTTTGTTAATATCGGATACACCAAACGACTTTGATCTACAATTATTAACTGAAAAGGATGAAAAAAAGTTTGTATTTGAACGTATCGCAAATCTGCAAACAGAAAATTCTCCTACTGATGATTTACCATATTTATACCTTTTGAAGTTATCAAATCAGACAGATCAAGATACCAAATCAATCACTTCATACCACTTAAGAATATCAGCTGTCGGTACCCTGTTAAACTGGCATTATCAGGAAGAAAAAGAATTACGCAATCGACAAGTTTCGGATGTAAATGCAGAGAATCATCAATTTTTATTTTCCGTAGATTTTCAACGAGGAACCTTGCGTTCAAAGCCACCTTGCACTAGTGTTTTATATTGGGATCAATTATGGCAATATACGTATTTTTTAATCAAAAAAGGTGATTTTGATTTATATGATCTATTTATTGATCAATTCAGCATAAAATGTATAACTTTTGAACACGTTGATATTGATTATTTTTTTCAGCAATGTTTCACATATTTACCTAGTATTCGACAGGCTCTGGATGATATCGTTTACGTTAGTATTATACTTGTGCGCATGGTTGGATTATTGTCTACTGGTCAAAGGTCGCTACGAAATAAGGAATCAATTTCCTATATTGATGTACTGTTACAGACAATCATCAACAAAATCGAACCATTTTTCAATTCTATAAAAGGAAACGATTGGTTATTAGTAAACGATGGTTTAACCAACTTACTCTGTCTCAAGGTGCAACTATACAGTGTATCACGGCAAAATGATAGTATAACATTTATTAATTTGATTCCACACTCTAATCAATACCAACAACAAGTTGCTGATAGTGTAGCAAAAAAAATAACGTCATGGAATATTAAACCAACACAACCGAATTGGTTAGATTTGTTTAAGATGACAACTGATGATCACTTAATAGTTGAGTGTTTACAATTAGCAAATACATTCACAGAATATATAAATTATGCTGAAAAACTTTTAACTTCAAAGTGCATACCAAATATCGAAGAGAATATTTCGAATAACTTAAAAGCAATGATACATAAAAATCATTTTGAATTAACACTTGAAGATATTCTAATTTTATTCAAAGCATTGAAAACAGATTCTACAGATGATTTACGTAATATTTTAGAACAATCTGAAGAATTACCCTCATATATTGAGTATTATTTGAAGATGTTACGAATTACTGATAAGAATCAATTACGTTTACTATACCAAGTATTCAATGAATACTACAATCCATATCTACTACAGTACATAGAGAAAACAAACTATATCAGCAATACTCTCACAAAACATAATTTTACCGAGTCACGTCTTCTAATTGAATTTCATATCGAATGGTTCAACTGTTTCCTTTGTGATCCACATTATGCGAATTCGAATGAAGAAGCAAGCAATTTCATATATTTCTTAGACAGCTGGTTGAAACAGTTCATTTATCATCTTCCAACTTATATTGATCTTATTAAATCATTAGACATATTAATTCCGATGTTAGAAAAAAGTGAAAATAAAAATAAAACGTCAATATCACGCGTAGATATATTTATTAATGAAATATTATTTAGCCACGCTGAAAAGGAACCTGATATGATTAAGAGAGTAAACGAAATTGGACTATATGTTAGGAACGAAAATTTCTTAAATGTCTTTAAATTGCACTTCAAAAATAATGTTGTTCTAACAAATTTAAACAGAATGAAAACGATGGATATTTATTCACCGTTGTACCTACTTTGGCAAAATGCAAGAAAATATCCAAATATTGAATTAACAGTAGACCTGATGAAAATATGTACAGATGCAATAAAACTAGACGAGTATAGTATTTATTATGGCGCTGTAAGAAACCCAAATGAAAACTCATTGCTTTCTTTGGTTCTATTTGATCCGCATTTTCGAAAATTTAATATTCATCACACTGTGGTCAACGAATTAAAAAAAATATTAAAAAGATGGGAAGAACATGGCATAAGACTTGAGGATATCAATTATTCAAGACTCTTTTCAAGAGCTCAAAAAAGACATTTTGATAGGATATGGCTATATGTGCAACAATTCCGTGGCCAACAACCATCAATGGAAATATTATTAAACAATGCATGTAAGGAAATGGAAGAAAAATCAAAAATTAAAGAAAAAGTTCAAACATGTTTAAAAATGTACTGTGAAAAAGCAAATGACATTCAACAATACCAATCAGCAATAGATAATTTAACACAACAATTAACAACTGGTGTTATTAAACGCATCCAAATACCTAATGAGATCTCTAGATTAGTGCCATTTGCTGATGTGTTAAATCCATACAATTTATCAAAGACATGGCTATCGTTTCGGCAGAATCAACAAAACAGTTTTAATAAAAGTAAGCTTGATCAAAGTTTTGTCAAACATAAATACGATTGTTAGGTAGTCAGGTTACAGTACTCATTTTAATAAACGGATCTTAGAAGTGTCAATAGCGTTGTTAAATCAATACTGCTCGTCTACTTGTTCCTTCTACGTTCTTTTTTCAGCATTATTTTTCATCATTATGCGAAATAAGTTTACTATTATAATGAGCTGTAAATAAGAAGAGAGTTTGGACAAATCTTGATTTTTTATTATTTTTTAGGTTCAACAACAGCAACAGAAAAATCTGAAAAAATTTCGGATAGTGAACAGCTTCACGAACAAAAACATTCATCCATTGCTTCTAACAATCAAACTCAACGGCCTCGAAAGTTATCCCAGGGTTTGTATCTATATGCACAACAATTTTGGCCGCCATGCATTCACAGGCTAGAAAAAAGGATAGAGGATAGTTATCTTATGAACGACCGCTACCTCGAGACAAAGTTCTGCGACTTGAGTCTACACGATCTGAGCAGAAGTTTAGATCATGTTTGGGTACGATTAGGAATGAAGTCGGATTGGAGTATTTGTTTATGAATAGTAGTATTCTTGTTTACACAACAATAATTCAATATCTTGACTAATCACTTTTCTTGTCCGCATCACTCGAGAGAAGAAAGTTAAAACAAGCAATGTAGCAAGATCTGTTTTCTTCTTTTTAAAAATCAAAACCTTCTAAGTATCACTACGAGGATAAAATAACTCAATGCAATAATTCTTTGCTGTTCTAAAACTTAAATTTTCGATGTCATCGTTATATTGAAAACTTGGTAATCTAATATAAAAAAACTTAGAGTAGCATAGGAAAGTATGAATTATCCTCCACGTTCTCTCTTCCTCTATTTGATATTCATGCATGATCTGATCTGATCTCTTCACCTTTTCTGTCTCCATGGCTAATGTTGCTGCTGCGGTTAGTCGTTCTATTTGCATTGTAAAGATCACTTCATCTCTCGTCCGAGTAAAGAGAAACGCTCTCTTCATCAAATTCTAAGCAGAGAGAACTATTTGATTAATATAATGCCTCAATTTTGATTACACGGACGACTCTTTGATTGCAACATCTTCAGTAGGGGAACTTAGTGTTTAACAGTATTGTATGATCTATCCCATTTAAGTTCGTATCTGCAAATGAGTTTTCCATTACCAAACAATAATGCCATTCGAACATTTATGTAACAAATATATTGTATTTTCGCGCAGCACTGTCAAGTATTATCTATCAAAGTGTAATGGTATTCTAAGACAATTAACTATTTGCCCACGATGATAACGATAAATTATTTAAGAAAGTGATTCTCCCTTAAATTTGTTCGAGATCCGGTACGTGCTAAGTGATCCATCTTTATAACAGCGAGATCATCGATTGTTCTCTCAATATTTTTCGTACTCAGCTGCTTGATTACATGCTGTATAATTCAATTAATTTTCAGTACTCTATCTTTTCTCCAATATCGTCTCATTGATCTCATATACAAATAATTACATGATTGTATCGGTTCATATTATAGTCGAAGACTTACAAGAAAGTTCGCCATAGTGTAAGATTACATATATAGTCAATCAACACGAAATATAATCCTAGTTGATAAAGCTCTGCTTACTTTGTTTCATAATTAGAATGCGAATACTGATTTTTTGATCCAAAGGATTCGAATCATAAGTTGAACCAATTTTATCCTCTCAATAAGCTCGACTATTCCCGTCAAAATTTTTGTTAATGCTTCATTCTTATCATTTTTATAAGCAACAGCTGAGTAGTCTGAACTGTTTGAAATTGGATGTGAGGTTAGATAAATCTTCTCTTCCTCTACATTTTCATCATCAAATAGTTCTACAAAATCATTCTTGACTATTTTTTCGGGTCAGTTTGAAGTCGCATTTGAATAAAAGTTTCTGGCAGATTTCGAGTTTGATAGGTCTAATCCACACAGGACTCTACTTTACGATAAACGAAGGGAAATAATTCAAACAACTAACACTAATCGGATTATGTGATCAAATAAAATGTGTATGATATTATGTTGAAGTTCCTATTAAAATTTGGTGCAGTAAAAAGATTGGCTTTGATTCATAGTAATAACATGTTTCTAGTTGAAATATGATTTTCTTATTACAGTTTTCACTCTCTTAGTTCTGCTGCAATGCATAGAAGTAAAGATTCTTCTAGATCTGTTTGAAAGATAGAAGCAAATGCATTTGTATTTCATTTTTGAAATCTTATCGCACTTTTCTCCACCTCTATTCTCTTTTGGAGATGCATATAAAAATATTTTGCTTAGGAAACTCAGTGGATGAACCGGTGAATGTTGAAAAACAACAGCCATCTACAGAGATACCAATCAATTCTTGTCTCGATATTTTGCAAAACACATGTGATTTATTCCAACATTTTACGAAACATCTTCAATCGATTTCAAAACAATGGAAAACTATTCCAATTCAAACAATAATTATGACTTTCAAAGATATTAATTTGATTGAAAATGAAATGCAATTATTAACTAGTCTTTTAGAACCAAATGCAATTGCACCTTTAACTTGTATTCTTGATTATTGGAGTAAAAAAGATTATATTCATAAATGGTGTGAAGGAATGGATCGTTTAATACAATTGTATAATTTATCAGATGATTATAAATTTTTATCCTTATTAGGTAAAACGACTGAAGCTACAAACGGAAATATGTGCTATAACAATTATCAACAATTTAACGAAAGAATTATTAAAAAGTACTCTCAAGAAGTGCTAGATGTTTGTTCACATTATAACGATTCAGAAGAACTTGTTAAGTTTGTTACAAAACTAAACCAAACTGATATGGATAATTTATTAGAAGCAGTTAATGATTGGGATGAATCATTCATTACAACACAAACGATTATTGATTTTGTTCAATTAGGATACTTTCTTACCAATATTAATAATTATAGTAACATCCATGAACAAGCATCAAAAACACTAAATGATATTTTATCATATATAAACACATTATTAAAACAAAAAGAATATGCAGATATAATCAGTTATTTTCAAACATGTTTATCTGCATTGCCTGGTATTCAACGATTATATTTACAATTGAATGATATAGAAGAATCGAAACGTACAAAAATATTTCATATTATTAATAATGCATCATTGAAAATTATTGAAAAATATCAGCAACATCCTCAACAGGATAACACAAAGAAATATGATGTTTGTGTGAAACCAGATAAAGGTGGACAATTTAATTATTATAATTTACATGAATTACGGGATAGAGCAAGATTAATAGAATATTCTGGCAATGAAAAAAATGTACCACGAAAATATACAAAAGATGAGGAAAAACAGTTTCTACGATGTTTCGTGTCATTGGTTGATGTTATTGAAAATGTATTGGACAATTTAAATCATTTGAATGCTATGGGTTATCCAACAATTGAAAAATACTCAGAAAACGTATATAAATGTGTTGAATGCGATTTTTCAGAATTAAGTCAATTGAATGTGTCATTGAAAAACATAGTTAAACTATGGGAAGGAAATTTAATTGACCTATACAAACGTTATCCTGAGTTAACTTATCTATCAGGAAAACAATTTTGGACTGTTGAAAAGGCTTTACAAAATTATAAAGAATTGAAATCACAAGATCAAGGTTATCATTTATTAAAATACATCGAAATTGAAAATTTAGTTTCAACGAAATTTATTATAAATGAAAATTTAAAACCTGAAGAACGATTAGAAAATCTTGGAAAATTTTTAAATGAGCAACGTAGAAGTGTAATCAAATCGTCATTAGTATCTGAACAATCAATCTCTACAGACAGGCAAGGAGGAAAAATTTTCATAACTGAAACATCAATTGAAGGTAGATATCGAGCGATTTTATCTTTATTTCATCATGATAATAGCGATCCTGCAGTAAATCAAATATTATTTTGTACAACAGAAACAAACTGGATAGATGTTCGAGCTTTTATTTATCGTTGTTTTTATTCATCATCTAATTTATATCAATTCATTGAACCTGAACAATTGGAATTTAATGTACAAGATAAATGTTGTCAATTGATCATTAAGTTAATTGAACATGATCCATCAAATAAATTTAAATTAAGTATTGTAACAACTGACATTCAAACTCATCTAATTAATGGAATATTACGCATGAATATAGCTAAAATTGTACGTGATAACGAATTATTAAATGAAGGTGACTTAAACAAATATGTCAAAAACCTAGTGAAAAATTGTCATATTGTGTCATCAAAAATAGCAGGTTTAGGTAAAACGACATTCATTCAAAATCATGCACAAAA